AGAAGTGACAATTTAAGTTGTTCGAACTTAAAATTACGGAATTATTTAGCGTTGACAAAGCAAGAAAACGAAAGTGAATACTCGCATTCAGACAACGCGAAGTGGGTTCTACTCACTTTGAATTTACAACATCAACATGTTTTCTAACAGCCACGCGCAGTTGACTTTTCATTTTTTTCCTGACATTTCGTCCATACCACGCCGTAGGAATTTCAAAATAGAGGTTTCACTATGAAAACCCGTCAAATGTTTACCGTCGACAATACACCGAAGAAATTAAAAACAAAAAAAAAGGACGCAACAATCACCGGTTATTTTGGGTTTGTGTCTGAGTAAAACTCAGTCAGGGAAATCACATGGTTATCGTGACGACATCGTGTTCAAAAGTGTTCCTTTTCAAAATGTTTTCCGTCCACACGAAAGCGAAAAGCTGGCGTTTTCAAATTCCTCCGGTTTGAGGAGCGTTTCTTAAAGCTCTGTTTTCGTGACGGGTTAGTGTGAACGGTAGATCTGAAGGGAATTTACAGACTAGCAAAACAATTAAACAAAGAAGAATAAGAATTTGAACCTTAGCATGGATACAGACTGAAACACATGTTTTCGTTTAGAAGTCGACAACTGAAATCAAGTAAAAGAGAAGAGCCAAAATAAAAAAAAAAAATAAAAAAATCAACTGTTCCCGTGCTTGACATTTCACAAGCCAAATTAAGTGCGGACGTTTTTTACTTCTGGTTCTAAAACTTGTTTTTGATTGTGGGTGTTTTATGACTGCCTCTCAATTATAGCCAAAAACAAAAATCAAAATGGAACTCACCTTTGGTAATCGGGCAATGTCGGACTCTCAGAGTTTGGGAGCAGACTGTTTGCGAGTTTATATTTCTAGAAGTATATATAACATATCCACTAAAGCACTCAAGATTGCGGTAATTATGTGGTCTACAACTATTGGGAGAGGCTTAGTGTTATGATAAACACAAGTAATTGTGGTTGGCTGGTTTGGTTCAGCGATTTTCAAAGGAAACCCCGTTTCGGTTCAAAAATCGCTGAGAGGGTGGTACTGACTTGCAAAAGAAAGCCGCCTTCTGGAGTGTTCTATCCTTTATGTTTTGTAGCTTCTAAAGCGCCAAATTATGATCTTCCCCGAAGGTATTCTACAAATTCAGAAAGTATCTTCGCTCTGAATCAAAAATAAACGAATAAACTGATCAAAAAAATTATATTTTTTTATGAAAAGATCAGATATAGAGAGAAAAAGAACAAAAACTCTTACAGTTGAAGAAACTAATGTGACTGAACATGTGAAAAGAGTTCGAAGTTTCATAGACAATATTTCTGCACTAGAGACCCATGGTCTGTCGAGGCGGACTTTGGCAAGTACTTCTAGTGTGTCCTGTTATGCATCTCAATGTAAGGCAGAAGATGGTTAATTCATCAAGAGGAACTATCTAGTTTCGTGCGTCGAACTGAAAGCTTAGTTTGATAGTACGTGTCGTCATCACACCTCTGGAGACGCATCATTAACTGCCTGAGGAGTTGGTGACTTGCTTGTGTGGTTGAGTAATCCCCGAAGGGCTTTACAGACTAGCTAAACAACTCGACAGAGAAGAATAAGATTTTGAACCTTACCATGGATGCAGACTGAATTATCTAAGACATAGACAAGGCTCATTTTACTTGGTCGCACAATTTGCCATGAAGACGAAAATTGAAATCAAATGAAAGATAAAAGCCAATCAAATTGAATATGTTTGAGATTAATAAATAAGTGCAGCTGAGATTGAACATTGTAATGAAGGCTATATCTTTTAGCGTACGATGGTTGGTTTTCTTTTTTTTTTTTTGACTGTTAACTGATAAGACAAGAAATGGTCTGCTCTACCAAGAGAAGGTTTATTTGTGACAATTCAAGTTTATTTGTGAAAAATTACGTTCAAAAGGAGATAGCCAAGCTTCGATACCCGAAGAATGATTAGACGATAGCTTGATCTTTTGCCCAGTACATGGGAGTAGTTGTGCATGCTTAAAAACTGCAAAATTCAACTGTTCCCACGCTTAACATTTCATAAGCCAAATTGCGGGCGTTTTCTATTTCTGATTTTAAGACGTGATTTTGTTTCTGAAGTTTTTTTGACTTCTTCTCAATGCGGTTGATAGCTGTCAGCAGTGATAAAAGATTATTACTGTGCGTTCAGCGCTTTCAATGAACAGGGATATTTCGATGAGTTTGGAATAAACAAATAAGCGTGGAAAAGATTTAATGTGGTTATGAAGAGGATAGTTTTCTGCGGATGATGTATCCTTGTTTCATTGGCTACAAGGTTTTGTAATGTGAAAACTACCAGGTAACAAAGTTTTATCGAAACCAAAGCGATCGAAGCGTAGTTTCGTGACTGATCGAGAGCGTTAGTTTGATTCCTTTTTTTCTGATTTCAAATTAAAATGTTCACGGCTTCTTGACTTTCCGCACAGTAATTTTTTCGTCCCTGGCGATCAGACGGTCGAGCGATTTTGAGCATAGGTTTCCCCTGGTGATCAGACGGTCGAGTGATTGTGAGCATAGGTTTCCCCTGGTGATCAGACAGTCGAGCGATTGTGAGCATAGCTATCCCCTTGTGATCAAACGGTCGAGCGATTGTGAGCATAGGTTTCCCCTTGTGATCAAACGGTCGAGCGATTGTGAGCGGAGGTTTCTTCTCGTCTCTCACCGAGCAGAAAGAGAAGGGAAACTCTGTCAGGCAGGGAAGGAATTTGCTCGCTTCTTGGTAGGAAAAAAATTAGATTGAAAATCGGCGTAAGGTATCTTTATTCACATAAGTTTTCAAAAACATCCTTCACGGTACCGTCACGTGTTCGCAAAAAACATATCATTAAAATCATGAAATGTCTCACATAACAAGACAGAACAGATAATTTAAGTTGTTAGAACTTAGAATAACGGTTTATTTAGCGTTGACAAAGCTAGGAGTCCAGTCGCTTTGATACAACGCGAAGTGGACTCCACTCACTTCGGACACTAACTTACAATGTCAAAATGTTTTTTAACAGCCCTGCGCAGTTGACTTTTCAGCTTTTCCCTGACATTCCTGCGTACCCGTGGACGTTCGCGCTGTCGTTTTTTAACGCCCATACATATTACGCCCGAGGAATTTCAAAAGAGAGGTTTCACCATGAAAACGCATCAAATGTTTTCAGTCCACACTACGCCGAGCGGAAATCTCTACTCACAATCGATTGATTTCCTATCGCGCATGCGCGAACCACGTCATCATGCCGCCCGTGTCGTGCTTTGTCATGCGAAACGTTTGCATGCAATCAAATTTATCTAGTTGTATATTTTCGGCGAACCATGTGTTTGAATTGCTACTTTTCCACCGTTTATTTGTTAGAGAAACTACAGAAATTTCGTAAAGATCTACGAAGTGCTGAATGACAAAAGAAACAGACGAATTAAACCAAACTAGCTAAGAAAAAAAAAATGCTTTGAATACCTGAAAACTTAAGCTTAATAATCCAACTATCAACCCTCGCATCGTGCTTCTTTGACAATGAATAGCTTGTTAAGGTGAGTTAATGTTCAACAATAGTTTCTAGAATTGTGCGCCAATTCATGATTATCCTCCGAAGGTATACTAAACCATGATCCGCGAATCATGACAGCATTCACTAATAAATGATTAAAACCAGTCCAAATTTCCTACATGCATCAAGAATAGATCAATCATGAAGAAAGGGAGAGAAAAAAAATTAAACTCTGCAACTTAAGAAACTAATGAGACTGAATACGTGAAAAGAGCTGAAAGTTTGATAGGCAGTTTCCTATACTAGGGACGCATAATCCGTCGGAGAGGGCTAAGGCAAGTGCTTTTAGTTGTCTTGCTATGCTTCCAAATGTAAGGCAGAAGATGCTTAATTCTTCAACAGCAACTATCTGCTTTCGTGCGTCAAGCAGTGAGCTTATTGTGACAGTACTTGTCGTCTTCACATCACAGGAGTGTCATAATCAACCGCTTGAAGAGTTGGTAAATCGGTTGTATGCTTGAGTATTTTAAACTGCAAGACTCGACAAAAAAAAGAATAATTTGAACCTTAGCACCTTAACTGAGATCAAATGAAAGCGAAATTAGAGCCAAAAAATTTAACTGTTCTCAACGTTAACATTTCATAAACAAAAGTGCGAAGGTTGCTTTTTCTGGGTGCGAAATTCATTGTTATGCTTATGAGTTTTATGCATGTAAGTGCTCGTCAATCGACTGCTTGTCAAAAGAGGATTATAGCCGTTAGCAGTGATAAAACGTAATTGCAGTGCATTGGATGCTGTCGCAATGATGGGATATGTTCGAGATAAATTGCGCAATTTGCAGTACAAATTTAACTATAGCTTTGACGAGTATAATTTTCTGCGGATGATGTATCCTTGTTTCATTGTCATAAGAGATGCACGAGATAGTCTGCATGCTCTAAAAAAAGCCGGGTTGGTTGGTAAAAATTCAAGTTTAAAAACGGCTGGCCTATCCTCGAAGTAGCCCTGAATCGAAACACCCCTGACCAGTTGTTTCCCTTTTTTTTTTTTTACCTTGAGACTAGGAACTAAAACTGCTGATTTATTTTCAGATACACGCAAGCTTCGACATATAAGCAGCTAAACGTTTGGATACCAGCAGCCATTATTTTATTCCCAAACGCAGAAATACGTCGACCTATATTCTAAAATAATGTACACCAAAACAGCTCTTAATGCGTTCGCGTTTGAAAACGCTGCTGTAGGTTACGGTTGGCGAAGTAGGTTTGTCTGTGGTAGCGAAGAAATGTACTAGATATATAAGCGACGATGCCTTCAGATTAGATCGTAATTTTGTTTCTCATTGTTTAGACCTGTTTAGTAATATTGAAAAAGAAATCTACAGAGCAAACTAAAGCTATATTGCTCGATTTTTTTAAATATTCATACTGAACATTACGATATCCGCAATGAAAGCTACCACTTTATAATAAATTCGTGTACACACATGACGAATATAATTAAAATATACACAGTACGCCGAAAGTAAATTGCGCGCACTGAGAAATACAGCTGTTGGCTGTTATGAGGAGGGAGGGAGGGAGGTAATTAAGATGAGGATGAGAAATTAAAGACGCTGGCAATTAAAGGAAAGGAAGAAAGACAAAATTGAAGTTTTTGCCTCCCTTTTTGGTGGCTACTATAGCTAGGTAACACTGGCAACTATGTTATTTTTCCTTTTTATTCTTAGCGTATTATTTCATTTCTTCTCGGTTCTTCATAAGCTGATGAGCTTCTATGTGGAATCGCTCTGAACAGGTAGTTATATATACCGTGGAATCCCGCTGCACCCACGAGAGTTACATTTTTCTACTTTTCGTTTCGTCTTCGTTTGTATTTAGGCAAAATATTTCTAGCCGCGTACGGTTCAGTTTCTACAATTATTAGTTCCTTTTTGCGTAATTTTTTCATA